TTTAGATAAAGCAAGCAAGAACTGATGTGACAAAAAACATCAAGCAAGAACTATAATGAGACAAAACACATTTGAATAGTTTTTACCAATAACATGAATATACTATGAAAATATATTATATAGGAAATTTTCTCTAGTCAGCAAGCTATAGATATAACGAGAAACCAATTGAATGGCCATCCAATAAAAAATATGGAGATAGGGGCAGTTTATAGAAATTAACAGAATATGTTGTCATTTAATCAGCTCTTGAGCCTAAGCGGCCCACTTTAGCAAAAATACACTAAAAACATTTCTCTCGACATATTTTTTCGAGAAACGCACAGTTTTGAAGATATTTGCAAAATACCGTTTTTGGCGCCATCTTGGGAAGATGGCGGCGCCGGCGGTATGTCTCGGAATGTGCATTTTGTGAATTTCAGCTCTAGATCCCCGAACTATAAACCTACAAAGTTTCAAAACTTGTGGACTTATTTCCAGGTAAAAATCCCCATCTTGATATTGCCAATTCTTCCATAGGACAAGAAAGATTCACCCATGCCGCTCTGTTCGAATATTACGAATTACCAGATACTATAAAAAATTGCAGAAATACAATCAAATTCAAATACGAACTTCAAAAATTCATCATTTCTGAACGAATTAGAAGTTTTTTTTGTTTTTCTTCCAACTTTTGATTCTTATTCAAATTAATTTTTGTTCCCCAATATGAAATGATTCCCAAAAATTTTACATTAAATGTATTTATATACATATTATATTATTCATGAGTTTGTTATAAGTTTATAGTTGGGTATTATTGTTAACTATACTTATACCAGAACTTGTTTCTGACTAGAAGTCAAATTTTCAATAAATAAATAAATTCTGTTAGCGGAGACCAGCGAAGACGTAAGTTGAATATGTATCTGAAAAAAAAAATGTTTTTATAAAGATATACTAAATAACACCGAAAAAATTCAAAGAGTGATTCCTTGTGATATTAAGTTCATATAAACATGTATCCTAACTTGCTCTGTTTTTGAGATACAGGATGTTGAAGTTGGAAGTATCAATTGTTTTTATTTATAACTTCCCTGTATAAGCTTTCATGGTGCCAAAATTGAGTAAGGTTGGAGACTGAGGAAGCGCTAAAATTTCAAAATGATTGTGATCGGGGTTATTGCGTAATCTCAATGGAAATCTTGAAAACACCTACAGTAAAATTTGGAGTCAAATCGAATTCTTATTATATCCTTAAAAAATAAGCTAGATACTAGAATCACACTAAGGATAAAAAAGGCGTTATTTCAATAGTTCAATCTAATAAAAATACAGTGTGACCCATTTAAGATGGAAGCACCCTTATAAAACTTACATTTTTCAACCGATTGGAATGATTTTTTTTTGTTAGGTAGATATTCAAAAAGTCTATTAGGACACCAAATATCATGAATGAATCTCCATTTCCAGGGCCAACTAATCTGATTTTTCAAGGTCAAGAATCTAAAAAAATTACTAGCGATTTTTTTAGAAAAAATCTGACTACACCACTGGATTTGTGACATTTTCAAATGGGTAACATGTAAATTACGTTGAAATGCGTCAATCAATAAAAAAGTTATAAAGGAATGTAATTTGAAAAATATGCCGTTTAATCAACCCATCAATTTTTATTACTGAACAGATTTCGATGAAACTGTGATCAGTAATATTCCAAGACATCCTGAATCCAGTGGAGTATACAGAATTTTCATAAAATTCCTGAACATGAATTGGTGGGTTGATTAAACGGCATATTTTTCAAATTTCATTCCTTTATAACTTTTTTATTGATTGACGCATTTCAACGTAATTTACATGTTACCCATTTGAAAATGTCACAAATCCAGTGGTGTAGTCAGATTTTTTCTAAAAAAATCACTAGTAATTTTTTTAGATTTTTGTCCTTGAAAAATCAGATTAGTTGGCCCTGGAAATGGAGATTTATTCATGGTATTTGGTGTCCTAATAGACTTTTTGGATATCTACCTAACAAAAAAAAAATCATTCCAATCGGTTGAAAAATGTAAGTTTTATAAGGGTGCTTCCATCTTATATGGGTCACACTGTATGAAACTCAGAAAAACCCGAGGCGTACAATGACATTCACCATAAATATCGATAAATTTACCCACTGTGACGCCACTGGAAATATTATTTCGAATCAAATTGTACCAAACGAAGCTTCATATTACTATTAACAAAACCACAACGTTTTATTGAAATTGATGGAAAGACAATAATTGAGTAATGAATAAAAAAACGATTTTTCAGGGAAATTTTGATACCCTGTATCTCGAAAACGAAGCAAGTTAGGACACATGTTCATATAAACTTCATATCCTAAAATATCACAAGGAATCGCCCCTTGAATTTTTTCGGTGTTATTCAGATACACCCTGTATATTATTACCGAACACGGATTATAACATAGGTTGAAGTTAATGGATCGAAATATAAAGTCATACTGAATTGTACATAGCAAATTGAAATAAAGTAAAGTCGGTTGAACTGCGACTCAGTAGACTCAGGATGTCTTCATGATGTAACTTCTTCATCTCTTGAAGAAGTTTTGTAAGAGACGAACAAAGCTCATGAATCTTGGGGTTTCTCAGGGTGCTTCTTCTTGGGATATGTCAAATGTTGGAATCTGTACCATTGGGCTCCTATGATGGCAGCGATGAATGATGATGTTGTCCAGAAGTGGTTAGTGCCCGTCTCTGTTTCATTAGCCAGGAACTGGAATCGTTGGTTATGTTGATTCTTCAACTTGTGGACTTCGTCGAGAGGCACTTTCTCGAGGTGGATTGGACGAATCTGTCTGGTCGGCTAGACTGAGATGATTTTGACTCTGGGCAATGTCAGTGGCTGTTCTCGAATGACGTCTCTGCTGTTAACGTAACCCTCTTGGGCTGCATAAAATCCGCATCCGGGTAGTAGTTTGATGAAGTTGGTACCCTGGATTACCAAAATTCCAGTGGTGGAACTTTGGGCTGATACCTTTGTCGGCTGTGGGAATATACCTATGTAGTGGGCTGACGTCAGTTGTTCAATCAATGTGATATTGACTGATACTGGTACTTGTTGACAGGAGGCTTCTTCGTCCGAAAGTAAGATTCGGGAGATACAATCTTGCGTAATTGTATCGAACTGGATGGGTGTACTTGGGCACAAGTAGTCAGGGTTTATTCTCCTGCAGGGCTGGTCCATGTATTGGTATAGTGCAGTATTCATTGTCAGATAGTGGTCAAATTTCTTTTAGGAATGGAATAAAGGTGATAATGGGTGAATATTTCAGGGTGTAGAAGAGGAAAGTGCAGAATGAAGACAATCATTGTATTTGAGAAGTAGACGTCTACGGAGATGGCGTCATAGTATTTGAGTAGCTCGCTTTCATCGGTGTATAACAACTGTTCTTCCATATGATTTTCGAGCATAGTATATACAGAGCTGTTGCCATGAAGCAAACAAAATAAACATACAATGCCAAAATAAGATCGAAACTCATAGATTGTTCTAATGACTCCCATTCGTTTTGGTCCCTCGCTAAAGCGGTCGGAAGGAATGTCACTAATAGTTCATTCTCACCACTCTCTGCAAATATTAATGCAGGGATGTTTGTAGCTGACTCCACCTTCGATTCCTAGGGAAGAGTGCCGGCAGATATTCTTTCGCGCATTCTGCTTGGACTCATAATGAATGATGCTTACGGTCCTGATGGAATTCCACACATTATTCTCGAAAAGTGTGCACCAGAAGTGACCGATTTTCTGCAAGTTATTTACCATATCCTACAAGTCGGGTGTTTTTCCATCCTGCTGGAAAATAGCAATAGCAATACCCAAAAAAATTATAGAAGAACCTATCCAACAACTATAGGCGCTATGTTATCAGTTATCTCCATAATAATGGAGAAAACCATCAGCATTGAGCTTATCAAATATCTACGTTACCCATATATATATGGAAAGCTTCATTAGAAGAATATGGATAATCACTAGATGTGGCGTTGGATATATTGAAAGCATTCGACCGTGTTTGGCACTAAAAACTTCTTCATAAACTACCATCATACGGCTTACCACCTCTGCTATGCCTTCTTTTATCGAGTTTTCTTTCAGGTAGATCTCTCCATGTGGTGGTGGACAGAGTATCGTCTGATATCATAGCCATTCTGGCGTTCCACAAGGATCAATTGCGGTACCAATATTATTTCTACTCCATATCAATGATTTGTAGGGAGTAACCACTTGCCCTATCCTCAGCTTTGCAGATGATAGTACAGGGTAAAAAACACTAATCAGATTCGCTGACTAGGAGAGAAAACATGAAGCAGATTCCACATTCCTTTATTGGACTATAAAAACATGTTTTTATCGCTTGGAGCGCACGAAAGGAAATCCCTATAATGTTCAAAGAACATCGTGCGTTCCTAGGGAGGATAGGGACAGGTTTATTTATGTGACATTTTCCATCAAGTTTTTTCATGGGAACCTTTGAATTGAAACAATATTAACTACCATTTGAAATTCGTTCATACTCATGGTAAAACCACCTATAACTTTTTTTTTCAGATATATAATGTATACCGATATAATTTAACTATGAACTAGATCTATTATTTAATCCTGTAGCGAATTATAATGCAGACATGGATCTGTAATTAGCGATATACAGATGATTTTAATGCTCGAAAATATGAACATATTGATACCTATTTATATTGAAATATACTTTCTCAGAATATACTGTGCAATCAAGTATGCACTTTCATAAGGTATTCGGGACGAAAATCAAATTGAGTTCCTTCTGAATTTCTGCCAGAATTAAAATGCTACTGTTTCCTCATGGTTCATTTGCAAGAAGCTTTGTCCAATGTAACAATTTTATTAATTTTATTGGTACATCTATCTTCTTCATTTAATAACCTATTTCATCAAATCTGAAACGAGTAGAAGAATAAAATGATTTGGTTGCAGGGATCTGACAATAAAATGAGACACCACTTGAAAGGATACTTAGCTGGATTGAGTATTCTAGTTGGAGAAAATGAAAAACCAGAAGTTCTAAGTTGTTTGCATCAGTGTAAGGAGAGCCTACAAGTGAGTGTTCATGATTCTAATATTTTTATTTTAACAAGCAATACTCTATTTTCAAAATAGGTTCCTGCAATGGAACTTCTTCAACCTGGTATGGAACTATTAACCAATTCAGACTTGACAGAAGTCACGGTAGAGGGCGACAACCGCACCAATCTCGAAACGCTGGTGCGAAAAGTAGGCTATGCCAACACCCGAGAATTCCCGACACCGGGTCGCAGAAATCTCCGTCTCACTACCACAGTCACTTGCGATAATGGCAAGCAAGTGAAGGTACCTGATGCGCAAACCTACGTAATGGTTCTTAGACCTCAGACACCCAGCATTATTTTGAATGGAACTGGTAACATGGCTAGAAAATATGAAGACTTCAGAATGGGCGTGAGGGTATTAGCTGACATACATATTACTGGAGAACAGAAATTGGACAAATGCCAGCTGAGTATTTACCCAAATCTGAATCCGGATCACGAAAATCTGAATGTACCTGAGGAAATGTTAAAACGATTAGGTGAGTGATAATGATTGTCATCACATTGAGCCCGATGTTTATGTTTAACACTTTCTGGCGGGAATTTCTTAATTCGCATAGGGATTTCGCCACTGCAAAATTACTCCCTAAAACTGTGACTTGCTATAAACAAAGTAGTACACAATCCTTTCAACTTTATGATTGTTTAAATAGATATCGAAATTGAATTGAAAGTTATTTACAGTGTCACTTATTTTTTTTATTTACTATTTTCAGTTATTGCATCACATTTTTCTTCACTAATACATCTTTTCTAATATTAAATAAAGTATAATTAATTTTCTAGTAGAAATGACATGAATGATCAGACAGTAATTCCTGGTATAAGAATATTCATGAAGTATTATCGACTGGTGGTATAATTGAAATTACAAATAGTGTTCAAAACTTACATATCAACATATTTTAAATTAACAGTACCCATATAATAGTGAACAAGTAGGAAAAAAAACAGTGAAGAGAGAAAATGAAGGAAATTCAAAAAGTCTGTCAGTTTTAATCATTCCTTCACATCAGAATGTACAGAGTGATTCAAAATTCGACATATTGGTGGGATCAAAATAAGACCTTTTTTTATATAAATATGTGTCCTAAAATGCACCCGTACAGCCAGTGTGGCCCCCATAAGTTTAGAATTTGCAGCTTCAAGATGAAACTATTATAGTTGAAGCAGGAAAAGAGATGAAAATTTAGATTGATATCACACAACCAAGGTGAATTAACTTCCATTCATAAAACTAGAAAGCATTGTAGCTTTTTTTCTACTCGGCTCTGGCTTTGCCAAAATAGACACCATATGGTACCACTCTTCAAAAGGCACATATTCTGAATTGTGAAAATGTTAACTTCAACTAAGGAAAATAAAGCTGTCGGCTTTTCATCACTCATTCATTTTTAATAGCAGGATATTAGAGAGAAGCCCTTTACGGACAACCAATTCAGGACAATCTGTACATGGTCTTTACTTATATTAGAGCCCCTCTGAATTCCTTAGTATTTTGTTCATAAAATTTTTCACAATGATTTTTTTACTGTTGATTCCAAAAAGGTGCACAGGAAATAAGTTGAATTTCTCATCAGTTTTCAAACTGAACTGAACATCGATTAATTCTCTAAACTTTTTGGAAAAATCAGATGATTTGCCACAAAATATCACTGCATGTAAAGTTCCACTGTTAGAAACCTGAAGGAGAAGTTCAACCGAGAGTCAGTGATACCTTGTTTGAAAAATGGACACCACATGGCAGATTGGAATAATATTACAGCAATAAACGAAAACAAAAAATCTGCTTGCATTCTTCTGAACGAAGATAATTTATTGTTTTTGTTCAGTTGATATAGATAGAACATAGTATTTCCTCCAGAAATCGGAGTATGGAAATAATGAAGTGTCCGACCACGTTAACTTTGGGACAGCATGTGACGCAACGCATATGCATATTCAATGTAACGCGACCACGTGCTGTCCCAAAGTTATCGTGGTCGGACTCTACAAAACTGAGCAATCTTCAACTAATGCAAGTTGCTTCAAATTGGCTTATTCTGACCTCAGGAATATGTGCTAAAATTTTGTACAGGCCTTTCAGTACATAGACATATTTCAACTACGGATTCTAGGAACAAAAATAGTAAAAAGGTTCATTCAAACATTGTTCCAGAAATGGCTCCCTGGGGGGTTATTGAAATCCGAAGGAGATCCGGAGATGATGGTTTTTTGTAAATAGTTTCGAAACCCTCAGTTATAAACTAACCAAAAGTTGTACATATACCTAACTTTTTATGTCCAATTTGAAAATGTTGAGAATATTTCGAAACTTGATCAAGGTCGTGGAGAATATGTGGGGCTAGCTAGGGACACTTCAACCCCCAACTTCTCAGTTTCTGCAATTTTCGGCACGTTGACAGGAAATATGAAAATATCATACTTTTTACATAAAATTGGTAGTTTAGTTTCAATAGCACTCATCATTTTCGAGATAAATCGATTTCAAAAGTCTGCTGCATAATAAAAATGTAACTTTTTTTTTGATAGGGTACCTACCATATAATTTTTTAGTTTATTCTTTATTTTGCACCCCTCATATTTTAAACCAAACCTCAAAAGCTGATGTTAAAAGAAAGGGCATTCTTTGTTAAACCATAATTTTTGAAAAAATTCGGTACCCCAAAGGAAAACGCTCTATTTTTATTATACAGGAAAATTTTTAAATCGATTTATCTCCAAAATGGTGAATGCTATCGAAACTAAACAGGAGTAATATTGGCAGTTGCATATTTCCTGGTCAAAATGCAAAAAATTTCATAAACAAATAGTTGAGAATACAAGTGTCAAAATTTCGGAAAATTCTTAACATTTTCTAATCGGGCATAACATTTTGGGTACAGGGTGTATCATAATATTTTGAACCCCACCTATAGCATCAAATATACGGGTTGGAGCAAATCTTCAATTATGAAAGTTGTAGGGTTTCACCAATACTATCTTTTGACCCTTCTTAAGCAAACAAGTTCGAATCGCAAAATGAAAACGAAGAGTCCAGATCAGGTTTTTTTGAATGAAATACCCTGTATATATTCAACTCTAGAAAAATATATTTTTCTTCTGTTTACAAATATGGGTTAGTTAATAGTGTGTTCTCCTTTGATATTAGCCAAACCGTAAGATGTATAGGAAAAATTCAAATACAACAGTTATAGGGTTTCATGAGAACCATCACCTAAAATTATTTCCATGAATATCTAGGATGTTCGAATTCCAATTTTTCAAATGGGACATCATATATATATATATTATTGCATATTCAGGTTCTACAAATAAATATAAATAATTGTAAAAATCTTGTATTTCATGCAATAGTTTATTCAAAATATCATAGCAGAGCGCTTTCGGCTATAAAGCCATCATCAGTGCATACCTGTAAGTGATCAGCTTCTAGCTTTTGAAGAGAAACAGCCGTTAATAAATTTGAAATTAGTAAAAGTGAGGTTAGGTACTGTTGCGAGGATCACTGAGACACGGTTTTCAGCAACAGTATTTAATACAGTGAATGATTAATTTATTAAAATAATATTGATAGAAAAAAATATATTGTCAATTGAATATTTGACAGTTACGTAATTACCAACAAAAAAACAGTTGAATATACAATAGGATTCTTTGATTCATATTTATACAGGGTGCTAATCAATACATAGACGAGAATGAATTCAACACTCCCCCATTCTAAAATTGTTTTAATTATTCCTAGTATATCAAAGTTTTGTTTAATCCCTATAATTTCTAGCAGATACTGAAAAGTCTTTGTTCTGTCGTGGATATGTATTCTGGGAATATACTTCCTTCTTCATATTTCTCCCGGATGAAATGGAATTCAAGATTCTTGATTAGTGTAATTGCACTCTGGTTGTCGATGTATAGTTTCGTTGGTTTGGTTATGTGCTGCTCGATGTCTTTCAAAACTAATCCTAAATTTTTTTTTCTGAAGAACTGAATAAAAAAAGCAAAGAATTATATTACATAGGCTCGATGCATAAAAGAGTATATGATGAAAACCTAAATATTAAATACAAACTTGAAAAAAGAAGTAAATAAACAAATTGAGTTAGAGAAGAAAAAGCATTACAAAAACATTATTGACAACTCTAGCAACAAGAATAAAACAGCCTGGTCCATTGTGAATTATGTGAATGGCACAACAAAACACAATGTAAAAACCAAAATTAACTATGAAAACGAAGTACTGATTCGACTAAAATGGCTGGTGCTTTTGGTAAACACTGTGTGATTATTTTGGTGATGATTTGAGTACACAATGCACAAAAAGTGATGGCTCCATTCGAACCATGTTTTTCAGACCAGTCATTGATAATGATGTTATTGCCGTGATTGATTCATTGCCAAATAAAAAATCCACCGGTCAGAACGAAATTCCGACATCAGTAATCAAGCAATGTAAACATAGTATCTCTAAGATACTGGCCCACATTATAAACTTGTCCATCACTCAGGGAAAATTTCTTTCGTGCCTTAAACTAGCATCAGTTATTTTACTTCACAAAAAAGGTGATCTCAGTGATATCAAAAACTATAGACCAATTTCTGTATTGAGCATTTTTCCAAGGATTGAAACATAATGTTCATTCAATATAATCACAAAAAATCAACATTGTTTCAGAAGTGGATTTTCCCTCAGAAACCAGCTTGGTAGAGTACGCCCAGCATATCAATAAAAAAATGGATCGCGATGAATATGTGGTGTTCCTACTATTCGACTCAACATGAGCATTTGATTTAGTCGACAAGGCGTTTGTGTCAGAAAAAATAGATAATCTTGGAATTCGTGGTTGTCTTAACGATTGGTTTCACTCTTTCCTTGAACACCGAAGAATGATAGTCAAAATAGATGATGTTTTATCAAACGAGTTTGACATTGATCTTGGAACTCCTCAAGGAAGTATTCTTGGTCCATTAATTTTCTTAATTTTCATCAATGATCTTACTAACCATTTAACCGAAGCTAGGGTTCTCACGTACGCAGACGATACCTGCACAATAATATTTGACAACTCAGCAACTGCAGTTTCTGAAAAGGTCTCCAAAACACTCATTCAATTTGAGGATTGGTGCTATCGTAATAAACTGATGATGAATGTTGGGAAAACAGTGTGCATTGAATATCATACAAGAACAGCATCAAATTGTTTAATTTCACTAAATAATACTATTTTTGAAAAATATGTAACAGCGAAATTTCTCGGAAATCTATTTGACATTAACCTCTCTTGGGAAGCACAAATAGACAATGTGTGTAAGAAAATCAATCAATGTTTTTATCTTCTGACGGTTCTGAAATCTATGCTTGATAGGAGCACCCTTTTGAGTTTGTATTACTCATATGCCTCTTCGGCAATTGCCAATTGGGGACAAGGACGTACATCCGAAGAGTTTATGTTTTACAAAAAAGAATAATTCGTTTTAT